TGCAGCTTCAATCTTGCCTAGGTCTTATCAGCACCCTCAGTGGAACTCGAACCATGACAGTACATCAAATAATCACAATATATTAAGCACTACGCCACATTGCCACGAATGCCCTTGATTCACGGGGCAGATTTGAACGTCAAGCAAGGACGTGCATTTTCCAATATCACATTATGTGGTGATCTTGCCGATAAAACAGTTTTATCTGCAATACTAACCGCCTACATTACATATTTTTCGTTTATAAGTACATTTTGGAGATTACCAACAGTGTATTCGTCCTATTTCGTTTAAGTTGATAAAGATACTGATAGTTGAATTTTTCCATAATGATAATGTCTACTCATAGGATTGTAGGAAAAATCAACTACCAGTCCCCTTATCACCCTAAAAGATACCTAATGTAAATTATCTGGAGTTTTTATGAAAATGGAAAAAATTACACTGAAATAAAAAAAATGTGCAGGAATCAACCTTCAAACTTCCTCACTACATCTATTGGTTTCATCAAATTACATAAGCAATTCACAGCACACATCTAACGGACTACTTGTATTTATAACTAATCCTCGCTATTTGTTCACGTTGACCAATTAAATTTCGCCTCAACACCAAGCCCACCATGGATCAGAACCTTTTCAAACCATTCAAAAGCTGGGATCCAGGGTTTTTATGCAAAGACTCTGGACTTAGCGACACCTACTGTGCCCCTGATCTTGTGAGGCGACCAGCCCTCTTCATTTGATGTCGTCATTGCGCGTCATACCCATGGGTTACTGTTGTTCACTGCTTCCATTTATATCAGTAATTTCCCTTAGGTTCCGCGATAGTAAGCCCGGACACTAGCCTCATCTATAACCTAGATACTCTTACCGTGACCGTGTGGTTTTTTCACTTAACAAGTCACTCTCCAGGAGGTTAAGCAAAAGCCCTAACGTGTGTCATACTCTCGTACGCCCAGTTCCTCCCTTCTGAATTTGGGATATTACAGGTCGTTCCGATTTGGGATCGCCATCAACTAGTGACTCTGCTTTAGGGCCGACCTGAAGTCAACGCAACCATTCCACGTTTGTCTCTACAGCGTACTATTCATTGACGTAGTCACGTTGGATACACAACTTCATCAGGCACTTTTGGTTGCTCCGATCCAGCTAAGCTAAGGGTGTTTTATACATAAGGCTTAATATAATGTATTAAAATCTATGATATTAATCGAAAGGCACAGGTATCCAGAATAAAATTTAAATAAGCTAAGCAGCCAGTACCAAATGTGTAAGATATGTGAAATATCAATCGAATGGTGTAATAGTACAAGGATATTAATGCAATTAATAAATACCTCTCTAATATGTGATCGCCTCGTTGAACAGGCACAACAGAAATATTTTCCTTCGATATTCCATCAACCTTATTTTTATTCAAAGACATTGCGGGTGAATTATTCCTCACAATCTCATTATTATATTCTGGCTCAAGATGACCAGATTCCTCGACTAGATGCACCAAAGTTGCTCCTGCACCAACAAGGCGAGATCGTGCCTTAGAAGCGAGGTAATCTGCAAGACATGTTGGAGGCTGAAGGCAGACAACGAGACTGCAACGAGGAAGATCGGATCTAAGTGCGGCTTGGGTAGCGATGAGGAGATTGACACCAATGCCACGTCGGAACTCATTAATCATCTCTTCTTGAACTGCAGAGAGAGATACTTTCTTTGACAAAGAAAATAGCAACGTAATGTACTCACGATAAGTTGAAGTTATGTTTTATAAGTTAACAAATTTATACAACGAAAAAAGATAAAAAACTAAAAAAATTCCATTCAACTGGGTCAGCAGACCGACGGATCAGTTGACTTGAAAGCACACAAAATGATGAGAACACGAGGTAGCTCAAGATATGTAATATAATAAAATATAGCAATATATAACGAATTTCGAGTATAACATTAAAAATCTAGATGAAAATAAGTTTTATAGATGTTGTTTGACCTTCTTTTCGCAATTTGGTCATATTGGTAGGAAGACTTAGAGGAACGCACCTTGTCTTGAGTCCATTGTATACATAATTATTTCCAAAGTCGGACCTTGGACGTAGTACATTCCCAGACGTTTTGCCGGCATCGTCAGTGTGTCTTACCATTCGTAGCACCATATTACAACTCATCAAAGAGACAAGTGAAACCGACCCTTGACCAAACGTGTGCTAAACACTTACGGTATCTCCCATTCTACCCTGGCCAATTCACATTTCATATATCCTCCAATCATGTCTTCACTGTCACAATATTTTACTTGCTTAATTAAATTTGGTACGGTGTGCCCTTTTTAGCGGCTTTCATGAGAACGCTCCGCACTCCACGCTGGCCTTCTCACAGCCCTTCATTCTTGTGCTGGGAATGTGGATCGGAGTCTGCCATATTGTTACGCAGTTCTCCTTCCCTAGGTCTTACCACAATCTGTCTCTTGCCCCGTAAGAACAGTCTGCTCTCTTTCTGGTTCACATATTTCACTCGACCCCTGCCACCCCATCTGTGTCAACTTGAGGCGTTATTGGCCCTATCCTGCGCCTGGGTGACTAATTCGAGGCTCAAGCCTCTGAGTAAGTGTCATGGTCAGGCCTTTACCACATGGACCACGCCTCTTATACAAACTACTGTCAGCCCAATAGCTCCCATCGCCACCGTGTCTATCGTATCTTTATCCGATGCCCTAATCTTTGTGTGCAAACCCACAAATGTTGGGGTTATGCTTGTTTTGACTCGGTTCAATGTTGAACCACAACGTTTTGGGTTGGCACACAAGAGACTAGGGCATAGGAAGTCATAGACTTGGTATAATAGATAGAAAGAGGATAGAAGCAAAAGACTAGGGCATAGGAAGTCATAGACTTGGTATTATAGATAGAAAGAGGATAGAAACTGTGGAAGGCTAGAGCTAGCTAGCTAACAATAGTCGTGATTCAAGGATCATTTCTATGATCAAACGACTATTTTTAGCCAAAGAGCTTTAGTCTCCACTGCGTCTTTCCTAATTCTGTCTGTGATACCATGTCCATCACTTCCTACGTCATAGTCTCTTGCGTGACAATCGACAATTGTCGTGGTTCTACATGTTTTGATTAGGCTCATTGAAGACGTCTCCTCTTCGCTTCCTATTGTTCCTTGCTCTTTTCCTAAAATTAAATATATTACCTTGATC